AAACAGAAATTAAAAAAGAAAAAAAAAAATTTATTAGCTTTAAAAAAAAAAAAAAAAAAAAAAAAGATTAGTTTGGAAATTTATTAATTCAAATTATAATAATTAAAAACATAGATAAAAATAATAAATAGATAAGGAGTTCAGTTCTTAGAGATAAAAGTTTAATTAAAAAACCAAGTATATTTCAAAGCCATGCATTAATAATTCTGCTATTTAAATTGTCTTTACTTACCCTATTATATAAATATTGGCAAACAACCCCATCGTCTAACAGAATATATAATCGTGTTTAATAAACAAGCAAATAAAAATAACAAATTTTGTATTTGTCAAGAATGCATATTTGGTTCTTTTTATAAAGAAGCATATAAAAATAAGTTTGCAAATACACAAGAACTTGTTTGCCACCACTTAAAAAATTGCAAATATTTTAAGCAAAAATATAATGAATTCGAACAGGCAGAAATTTTAGCCAAATCAGATAAAGTGGATTCAGCAACTAATAATTGTAAGCATAGTTAATTAAATACAGTATCATTTACTCATTATATATATAAATATCATCTTTATTTTTGACTTAGCTTTTCAAGAAAGTACTGATGATAATTCTGCTACTGGATCTGAGATTTCTTCAACTGCTAACTCTCTTCAGTTAGATAAGTTTCAAGGTAAAAAAAATAACATAGATCAATATTTATTATGACCTTTAAGTGAAGATCAACAGAAGCATTTCGAACAACTTCTACTTAAAGTAACTGTTTCATGTGATTGGGCTTTTTCTTGGATTAAAAACTCTGAAATAAAGATGCTCTTTAAGTTTATCTATCCATTAGTTAAATTGCCCTTACAAAAAAAGCTTGGTGGCTGAATTTTAGCAGAATATACACAAAATACAACTAAATCAATTAAAAAAATAGCTCAAAGTGATACAAATGGAGTTATATTGGCATATGATAGCTGGAAGAACATAAAAAGGGAGTCAATTTTTAGAAGTATTTTAATTGCCTCTAAAAGCAAGATTCTCGTTTGGGGTGCAGAAGATATATCAAATGAATGTACAAAATGGCCTGATGTATAATGTCAAACAGAAAATATGCTTGATAATCTAAAAAAAATAAAAAATAAAAGTTATTGCTGTTGTAACAGATTGTGCATCTGAATATGAAGCAGCCAGGTAATATTAGATATGAATACTGTCAATAAAAAACCTGATATTGGGCTTTCAATTATATTTTGTACCGGACACAATCTTTAACAAATTAAACTAATTTTGTCTAATACAAAATACAATTGAAAGCTTGATATCAGATTTTCTATTGGCAGCATTCATATAGTGTAATGTTAGTATATTAATATTAAATTGTTTATCTTTTTAAATTTAGAAAATGTTTACGGCATGTACATTTAGAAATTATATTTATTCCATGTTTTGTACATCAAATAAACCTGTATGTCAGTGATATTTTTAAAAATTCAAATGCATTGTCAATTGTTGCTAAACAAGCCATTCATCTTGTATCTTTTTTTTATTAGTCAGTATTTTTTTTAGGGCGCCTTTGTTTAGAGCAAGTGTCAATATATAAATCATATGTTTCTTTTGTATCTTCAAATTATACTCGATAGAATAGCCATTATTTATATTTTGCTAGCATTATTAAGTCTCATACTGCACTCAAAAATTTAGCTACAAAAATAGAAGATAAAGATAATGATAATCTTAACAGTTTTTCTAAAAGTATCCTTTCTAATATTTCAGACAATGAGTGGTGGAAAAATCTTATACAATTAAAGGTTCTTCTCAAACCATATATGACATCATTAAATAAACTTCAACAAGACAAAGGCTGTCTTACTGAAGTTTTACATAGCTTTGGATGGGTTTGCCAAGTTATTAAGATATTTCTGATTAGGATCTTAAAGATTATTTACTAATAAAATTAGAAAAATGATGGTCAGTCTAGAAACAGCTGTTGCTACTTCTATCTTTTTTATTGTATCCAAGTTATCATAATATATAATTTAACCAAAACCTTAACAGTTTTTCTTTTGCATATATGAGACAATGGATTGTATACTATTATAAATCTTGGTTTAGTAAACCTCCATGTTCTATTTTGCATAAATTGCAATATTATGAAAATAAGAATATCTATTTAATAAAGAAACTTTTGACCAATTTGGTAGTGATGTTTTACAATATTGAAATTTTTGTAAAGGAGTTGCTGTAGAATTGCATCTTGTAATAGTTCGCATTTTTTCAATCTGTATAACCACAGCATTAGTAGAAAGATTATTTTCTGCAATGGGATAGTATCACTCAGATTGGCATAATCAACTTCAGGCAAACTTATTTTATATTTTCTAATATTAATCTAATATAATTTATTGCCAATGCAATGCATCATAACTCTAATAAACAAACTATAAAAAAAACTACCTTTGCACTCTAACAAAAAAAATAATTTTTCAAACTGCTAACTCTGACTGTTATTTTTGTATAAATTATTTGTTAAGGAGTAATTACATTTGCATTGGTATTGAAATATCTAATTAATCACGTTTATTATATTTTATATTTAATAGTATAAAAAAGTCTTTGCCATAAGCCAAATAAAATTTGAGCTTTTATGTTCATAAAATATTGCGACAATTGACAAGTTATTAAAAACATACAAGCAAACTATTGCTATTTCATTTGAACAAATAAATCCTAATAATGATAACGGAGATGAATTTATATTATCAGAAGAAAATACTGACAATAATGATATTGATACAGAATACATCAGGGATAGTGATCATATAGAAGCAGTTAAGTGTGTAGATGACTGGAAAGTAATTGTAGAAGAATGGATTAATCTAACTAAAAAAGATGATAAGCATATGCAATCTAATTCATCTAGTTCAGATGAATTAGAAACTGATTTATATGATAATGAA